ACCGCGTGCTTTTGCCCAGGTATGCGTGGTTATACGTGGCACTAGGCCTATGGGGAATCGGGCAAAGGGCTTCTCGATTTGCTTGGAAAGATTTGTCATAATCAAATTGATGACAAATTAGATTGATGATTAATTGTCCTGTTCAACTGCGATGGCTTGGACTATTGGTATTTGTGCAACATCTGCACTTGAAGAGCTGCTGCAGTTGAAGAAAGGTGGCTGCAGCTTTTTCTGATTCTGAAATCACAAAGATGTGAAGGCTGTGGTGCAGCAGATGCAGTAGTGTTGGAGAATCATCTGCTGTGTTACCACGGAGCATGAGGGAGTGAGGGAACTTGGGCTGCGGGAAGCAAAGGACTTTACACATCTCCCTATGCTATTCGTGTACCATCCCCCCCTCCTCTTACCTCTTCTGTCTCTTTGTCCCCAGAATAGATCTTCCTTAATCTGCTTAAATCACTCATCATAATTTAAAGCACTGTAGTTTATTTACTCCCCATAGCAAAAGACTTACCTTATCTGTTTATGAACTCTCAAGCATAGTGTCTGCTGTTTCTCAAGCTACGTGCATTCCTCCTTGTTACTGCATGTTCCTGAACAGATAATTGGGAGCTGAATCCTTCAGTTTTTACAGGGGCAAAACCTTTCTCAAATCAGTGGGAGTATTATCAACATAAAAAAGGAGTTATTAGACTCCAGGATAGTGTCAGACTTTAATTTCATTCCAACTCACTTCTACATTGTGGGTTTTATTACAACCCGAAAATGTTGGGCCATACTGTTTTAACTTCAGGTTCTGAATCAGTCAAAATAGTTCCAATACTTATTTTTTGAAGATATACTCAAACAGATCTTTTTTGAGCTTTTAATTTATATGGAGACACACAACCAAGTGATAATTTCACAATTTAGTGGGAACATTTCATGCATTCCTACCTAAAATGTCTGGTCAAGCAGATATTTCCCATGCAGCTCCTCCCATTGTCTCCAGTGGAAATTCCATATGAGAAGTGGATCAAGGCTAATTTGCAGACGGTTTTGTTCCTCTTTTTGTCATGAAATTACTAGAACACGTAAAGCACTTTCTTAAAAGTATCAGTCAGCTTCATTAATGACAATTAAAAAGCATAAAATGTCACCAGAGCAACAGCAGCACTTATTCAACTGTCAACATATTTTAAAAGATTTAATGCAACCCCTGTGGTTACCCTCAAGGAAAAATAAAGGAACTGAGAACCATTTTCTTTGAGCTCTTAAGCAACAGCAGTACAACTTGTTTTTAAACAATTCCTCATTGTAATGTTAATGTTACCACAGTTAATAAAAAGTTCATTTATTATTTGAAGGACTTTGTGCTGATGACAGTCTAGTAGGCAACAGTTTATGCTCAAATAGTTGATTGGATCCTTGGTGGTGTCCATAGAATGAAAGCTACTTGCAAAATGGAGTAGAGATAAAGCATTTAAAAGGAGAGGAAAAAAAAAAAAAAAAGGAAAAGAGAAGAAAAGAAAAAGAAAGAAAAGAAAACCATGGGTTTATTTTTGTTTATATGCAGAACTCATGCAGAAATCTCGAGTGTTTATATAGTTGCATAAATTTCAGCAAATTGTGGGTCAGATTTTCTCAAAAGTAACTGATTTGTGGCTTTCACAGCTTCATGGATATTAAATAATAATGATTTATAAAGCATTGAGCACCAGCCATGTGAAAATTCTTCCCCTTCTATTGTCTTGCACTGGAGATCTAAAAACTTAACTCACTTTTGAATGTTGTCAACTGAAA